AACATAAACATAAGTATAAACAAAATTAATATAATATATTTAAACATTCATGAAAATATTAAAGTATTCTCGTAAATAGAGAGAGAGAAAGAGAGAAAAAGAGAAAGAAGAGGAAACCTTATTTCAAAATTAGTTTTAGCGTATTGTAAATTGTTACTAATGGCAAATTCGATTGAATGCATTAGTGCGTAATGAGTGTACACTAAATTTGTTTATAATTCATTCTTACACTTAAAAATCATTTTAAATTCATCTTCAAATACTCAGTCAGCAAAATTATCTATACAGCATCCGTACGAATTGTTTTATTGGCTAAGAAGTTTTTAAAGATGTATTTAAAATGATTTTAAGAATAAAAAAGTGACTGTGAACAAGCTTTAGTGTGTACTCAGTGCGCACTGGTACATTCAATCGAATTCGCCATATAATGATTGCGAAATTCACTGCCAATACTTAAAATTTATAGTTTATGTTACGTATGCTATAAAATTTCTGCACTGACAGTGAATTTCGGAACATAGCCATTTTTATCACCAAATGAAGAAAGTTATTCACCAAATCACCAAAAGACCTTAAAAATCCCCAAAATGGTGAAAAATCACCAACAACGGTAACCCTGCTCTAAAGGCAGTGACCCGCCGTGGGGAGCGTCCCGATTGACCACGGTACGATTGGACACAACCAACCGATGAAAAGAATTATCTAGTGAATTACTATGTCGAACCAATCATTACAATCTGTGTCCAATCGTATCGTGGGCAATCGGGTCCCACCCCCCGCCGTGCAAGCACACTAAAAGGTCTAGAGCCGTCGCCCACGTCGTCCTATGTAGGCGCCGAACCAAGAATTAAACGCAAGCGACGGCCCGGCTCTGATCACTGCCGCATAGCGACGACACAAAGTAGCGGCGAGCGGTATTCTCGCGCGAGCGGATCGCGCTTGGCGCACGGCTGCCCGCCGTCAGTGTGCACAGTTTTACTCCGCTTACAGCATGACGTAGGCCACGCACACAGCGAGCGACCGAGTCCGTGAGCGGCGGCTCGACAGCGGCGCGCAGGAGGGGATACGCGTATACGGCTGCTTGCCGTGTACGCGCTTCGACCGAGCTATAATATATGTCGGTCGCGTACACTATAGCTATCGTTCGGGGAAGAAAGAGGCAGCAAATGCATGCTCGGAAAAGAGAGAGCAGACGGCCGGCGTGAAACTTATGCTTATGCTGTTTGTCGTTTCTCGCCGTGCGCGCACTTCCTTCTCGCACCTATTAATTATACAAATATTTAAATTACATACAAATGTGTTAAATATTAAACATCAAAATATTAAGAATAATAAAAAGATAAATGCATCCGCTTTTCATAGATCATTAATATAGATTATTAATGATCAGATCCAAGCCGATGTTAATAAATATATCTATCCATATAGTT